GACCCCCAAAGGGGTCGTGACCCACAGGTTGAGAACCGCTGCCCTAGGAGATACAAATTAAGACAATTAGCTCCTAGAAATGTTGACTACATTTCATCATATTCCCTCCATTTTTAAATGAGTGCATACATGGCCCAGGGAATGAATGGCTGAATGAAGGCATGACTGCTTGGTCTTTGTGTGTCTTGGTGGCAAGTCCCCAGCACCAGCTCTTATCTGCTCCTGGAAGATCCCCAGGAGCAATTATCCCTTGCACTGACATAGTCATTGGCAACTCCAAAGCCCTTTCCTTTTCAGTTCACCAGTTGACCCCTAAAAGGGAAGACACCGTCGTTTTCCCGAAGAGAAAACTGTAGCTGACTTCTTTTGCAAACTTTCAGGTAAACCATTCCCTGCTCAAAAAAGGTGAAGTGATTTTCCAGCGTTAGGTTTTGAACAAGCTCCCCATCCCGTCTGTCCTAAGGAAGTTTCCTTCTGACAGCCATGAGTTCCAGAAAAATCTTCATGCAAAATTAGCACATCCCTGAGCGCCTGTGGGAGAATAGCCTATGTACCAGCCAGGATCAGCAGGAGCAGATGAAACACTTGAAAGGGTCCATGAAAAGCGGTTAATGGAGACACAGAGATGTGCTTGGGGCTAAGGGAGCCAGCATGATGCAGCACCCACAGACGACTAACCAGGCGGAGCCCTTACCACCTCTGAGACTGAAGGAGCAAGAGGAGGAAGCTGTTACTGCATCTGCAACAGCTGCAGAGACAAGAGCTGATGCTGTGGGAGAGAAGCCTTCAGACCGAGGTGTGGCCTTAGACCAAGGAACAAAGCCACTGCCAAAGCAACTAAGCCCAAGCAGTGAGGAGCAGGGATGTAAAAGTCAGATCTATGTTTCTCCTGCCTCACAACCTTCTCCCAGTGGACAAACCCAGCAGGAAGCCAGAGAACAAGGGAGGCCTAACAATGAAATGCATGGAGATTCGCCTCTGGAGACACAGGGCAGAGCAGAGAGGGCGGAACATGGATCAGGAGAAGGAAAGGAAGAATAGGGAACACAGCTATCAGTGCAACAGAGCAGACCATCCATTCAATCAACAAATACCTATTTCTTCTGGGGCTGGGGAGACACCAGTGAACAAGACAGGTCCCTGTCCTCATGTAGTGTACCATCTAGTCAGGGGCCATTGACAGCAATTGTATAAACAAACACACATGCATTTTTTTTTCCGGGTAGTGGTAAATGCCAAGAAGGAGAAATGCCATAATGGATGGAGAGTGGCTGTGAGCGTTGCTTTAGACAGAGCAGACAGGGGAAGCTTCTTGGAGGAGGTGACATTTGAAGGAAGTTGACCTGGGCTTCCCAGGAAAGCCTACCTTGACTCCACAGCTACTCCCATGTGGCTTGTGGGTAAGCCTCAAAACAGTCTGTGATTTAGAGGCAGCAACTGGCCAGTCCCCAAGAAAAGAGACAGGACAGGAGGTAAAAATAACAACAGACACTCACTTTTACATTTAGTTTGTAACCTTGTCACCCACCCCCTCCTCCCAAAGGCCAAGTGCTAACTCCTTTACATCGCCCCCTCTCCCTGCTGTGGGTACCATCAAGCCCATGGGACACACAAGAATCCTGAAGCTTGGAAGGAATTGGGCTGTTGGTTCTGTGTTCTAACATCCTTGGCCCGGCAGGAACAGCAAAGTGGAAAAGCACATTCTGCTCTTTACTACATCTCAGTCCTATTCCTTTGATGCCCTTTGCAGAGAGCAGACCCATTTTTTTTTTCTCTCTTCTTCCATGGCCCGGCCTGATGGGAGATAGATTCTTCTCCACACACACACCCTCTTCCTTCCAATTAAAAAAAAAATATTCAAGGCTTTGTCAGGGAGGTGAAATGTGTGTTCCACAAGCTCCAGCCCAGCCTCTGATAATACTGGCATTCAACAGTTCTGCGGTCTGTTTATTCTTTTTCTCCCTGCACTCCCCACTCCTCCTCATCAATTTTAGGCGTGTCTCCACTCTTAACTCGGTGGTCTTTGGGTCATTGGTTGAATAGGTAAGATTTCTCAGTCAATAAAGTCAAGGCAGGTTTTCTTCCCCAACACCTCCCTCCAAAGAAAGTGGAATGGGGGGTGGCTAGGACCAGGGAGAGGCCGCGCTTGCTAGCGGCGAGGGTCTACATTTTGTATTTCGCTGACAGCCCCAACCCGCTCCAAAGCCCGCCGTGTAGCCAATGGGCAGCAGTGATTTATGGGGCTGACTAATGCCGGCTGAATGCGGCCTGTCACAGCGCCCTGAATGGCTTCCCTTTGCCGCACAAGCCCAGGCTTTGTGTTGCTAAGCGATTAGAGCAGATGTAATGAGATTTTGCCCAATCCCTGCTTTGCCCTTTCCTAGCTTCGGCAAAATTGTGTGGGTTTTTTTTTTTTTTTTTGGTGAATTTTTTTCGAGTTTGCCTTCGCATTGTGGCAAACAAGGGCTAACTTTGCCTCAAGTTTAACGAGACTGGATATTTCCCATTCAGAAGTGAGTAAAAGAACACCTGTCTTTAGAAGAAGGGGGGGGGACCCCTTTGTGGGGGCTGAAACATTATCCCAATGTTATATTCATAGCAATAAATGACTTGCTACACTTTCTTTGCCTACCTTATCTGAAAAGTTGCAAAGGAGCTAAATTAAAAGGAAAAGAAATGAGGGGGGAGGGGGGGGAGGGGGGGAGCCCAGCTCTGGTCCTCCAAAGGAGAAGATAAAAATAAAAGCAAGCATCACAAAAGCATTACTACCCTGAAGTAAGCTCTAAATTGGCCCACTGCTGGCAGAAAGTCCGATTATTTATGGCGATGAGGAATTTACTGATTTTTTCCCCCTTAATTACGCTCATCCCTTTGAAAGGGACCGGAGCCTCAATGTGCATTCTATAGAGGGTCATTTAGCAAAATGACATCAGACGCTGAGGCGTGCTCCGCGCATCGCAGCTTTAAAAAATGATTATTCCGTGCCACTAAACGGTATAGATGTACCAACACAGACTAGATTTTTAACTCTGGAAGACGTGCCGGCTCTCCGCTCTTTGTTGGGTTTTGTAAGACGCATTTTGCGCTTGGCTTTCCGCTTGGCTGGAGACACGCAAACTGAATGTGCAAGTAACGCAGGAGGGGAGCGAGGCGCCGGCGAGAGGCGGAGTGGGATTCCGATCACGTCCTTGCTAACTGACAAGAAGCAAGCCAGCCAAAAACCCCACTAATTTCTTTTTGAATCTTGGTAATTGGGTACTTTTACACGCAGCTCACGCTATTCGGATAGAGTCGCCAGCTTAGATAGGCCAGTGTCTCAAAACGCCCCCACCCCCATTTCTAAGGCGTTTCTTTCTTTAGATGTCATTCCTTCCGCAGGGAATTCATATCATACATGCCCTTTACTTAAAATCAGGATGGAAAGCGTGCATCCTGGGCAAAGAAGTGGAAAATGTGCGCCTGGAAGTGAGGGAACAGACACCAGCCACTGGGACTCAATACCACCATCCTCCCTCCCACCCAGAGCACCTATGATCTCATCCAGCCCTTCCACAGTTTCACAATTAGGACCTCAGAATGCGGTTGGTTAAGGGTCAAAAAGTGGGGAGAGGACCCTTTCTTTCCACTTCACTTTTTTGGGGGCATTTTTAAAAAATGTAAATCATTTTTTCAAAAGACAATGCAATCATCAACCACCACCTATTCTCTGGGTGTGTCCGCAGCATAAAAGGGGAAGAAAACCCCTTTTATCTATATATTTTCCCTCTGCATTCATCATAGGGCCACCTCAGGTAGGACTGGTCTTAGCTCTTAGCTTTGTCATTTCTGCCAGGCTGCGTGCCATGCACCACCCTCTTCTCCTTCTCCCACCCCTTGCCATTAAAGTTTCAATACCTTGGACAGGGCAATAGAGGCAAAGAAGACTTTTTCACTTGTATAAAAAGAAAGAAAGGAAGAAAGAAAGAAAAACGTTTTATTACGAAACTAGTTTGTATAAAACAGGGTTATACATGTGGGGTTTTTTTTGTAAGTTTGTAATAAAACAGTAAGAAAAAAAAAAGGCAGTGATAGAAATTTCCCAAAAGGCAACCTTTCAAAAGCACTGGCTGCCACTTTGTGTTTGGACAGTAGCTGCATAAACTTTGTTCTGGAACAGTATTTAATAACGTCATTAATACATTAACAAAGTTTCTCTAAAGTAAGACACATTGGTGCTTAAGTACATCCGGTGGCCTTTTGATCTCCCCTGTGAGGAGAGGTCGTTACAAAGGCCACACAGGGAAAATGGCAGTTGTAAGGTGAGCTACACATCTAAAATATGCAGAGGTAATAGCATTACATGTTAAAGTTTCAAGATATACACATTTTAAACCATTTGTACAAAACTCTATAAATTTTTTTCTCTTTCTCTCTTATGTACAAAAATATCTTAATATATCCCCAAACTGGTTAGGATAGATACAAATAGATTTTTCTTATAATAAAAAAAAATTCACAAAAGATTGGAAGCATCCTATGATGAAAATGGTAGAAAAGATGGTGTGAGGGAGTGGGGTGTGGGGAGGAGGCCCAAGGATGGGGTGTCAGAGGACTGAGTATAGCACAGTTTCGCTGCAGACCGAAGTCCACAGTGTCCTGGGACAGGGGATACTGAGAGGAAAGACACCAACCCTTGGCTAGAGGGTTAAGAACTGCGCTTTCAAAGAGGGCGGGGAGGTGAAGACACCCGAGTAAGCCAGCGCTTCCAGCTCTGCCTGCTAGTGGTGGGTGGGAGTTCCTACAGGGCGTGTGCTGCTCTCTTCCACCAGGAGCTCAATGCCTTTGCACACGAGCAGCGTTTTGCACTTTGACTCTGGTCCTAGTCACTCTTCAAATCTCCGTGAATGATTGGAGTGCAGCGAGACAGTTCTGAGCGCATCCCTGTTTTGTGAGAGCCTTGCTTCGCAGGCCTGAGTGGCTTGGTTGGCGTTGGGGTGGGTTGCCTGCTTTTCTTTTCTTTTTTCTTCTCTTTTTCTTTTTTTCTCCCTTCCAGCATCACCAACGAGAAAGCACTAAAGAGACAGGTTGTGCAGTCACCCTATAACATAAGGAGAAGAAAGGGAGACGTTAATGTGTATTTGGAGACTAGCAAGGGGGGGTCTAGGGGGGCTGGGGGAGGGGCTGGGGCGGGTGGAGGTTTAGGGAGGAGAGGATCTGTCAGGTAGAGCGCCTCTTTGGACAGGCCCTAGTACTCCTTTCTCCACCTCCCCATCTCACCCCTATCCAGTCCTTGGAGACCTGGGCAAAGCCACTCTCAAAGGCCAACAGTGAAACAAACCACCCAGGATTTCAAATCGACTGACTTGAACAAATCCTGGGACTCAATCTCCCCCCCACCCGCGTCTCCGTGGAGACAGTCCCCCTCCCTCAGAGACTAAGACGGAGGGAAAAGGGATGAAGATAAGTAACCTCCTCTCACCCAGGTCACTCCCCAATGCCACTTACCTGCTTCGAAAGTCCATTCGCAACAGGGCCTGGCCAGGCCGAGCCCCTCAGAACCAGTTGGTGAAGTCGAGCAGCTCTTGCTCCTCGGGGCTGAGGGGGTCGTAGGAGCCCTCGTCCGACGAGTAGGACGAGACTGGGGAGCCGGCCATGGAGTTCATGTCGTTGGAGTAGTTGGGGGAGATGGTGGGCGACAGGACGCCCGCCTGGAAGGCAGCGCTCACCGCGTCGTGCTCGTCCAGCAGCTGCTGCAGCGCGCGGGATGTACTCGACGGCGGAGCGCAGCGTCTCCACCTTGCTCATCTTCTTGTTGGCCCGCGCCGTTGGGGACGTGCTCCCGCAGGGGGGGCCGAAGCCCCGGTTCCCCCGGCTTGGACCGGGGTGGGGCTCGCGTTCCGTTGCCCCGGGTCCAGGGGGGCCGGCTGCTTGTTGGGGGAGGTTTGTACCCAAAACCCCCCAAAAATTGAAGCGGGCTTTTTGCGGGGAATCAGGGCGGGGGGAGAACAAACCCCGCCCCCTTCCCCCGGTTTGGTGCGCGGGCTTTGTGACCCGCCCCCCGAAAAAATTTTTTTTTTTT